TAAGCACTTCCGAAGGCTGGAGAAAACTCGTCGTGCTGCGTAAATTTGGGAGGCAATGTCATCGTTACTTTGTCCATTCGCCAGCAAATTCGCTTCCAAGTATTTGAAACTGTGGACTTCTTCAAGTTGACAGCCATTAATACGAGAGGTGCCTTCTCTTGGGCAGGGATGCAACATGAAAACACTTTGGTCTTCCCAGCGTTTATGGATAAACCGACCGATTTCGAGACCTCGTTCATCTGTCACACAATAGACTGGAGATCGCCAAAGCTTGATGTTAGTAAAGCGATATCATCGGCATAGTCGAGGTCAGTCAAACTGCGTCCGGGTGCAAGCTCGATACCGTCACTTTCTTGTAGGGCCCTTCTGAGAATCCAGTCAATGTCGTAGTTAAAGAGGATGGGCGACGGGACACAGCCTTGCCGAACGCCTGACTGAATAGCGAAGGGCTCTGAGAGGTTGTTGTGGACTAAAATCCGCGCAGTGGTGGAGCGGTAGTATGCCTTTATCCTGGCGATTACTTTCGGTGGTACACAACCAAATCCCATTATCCACCATGGGGAGTCACGATGGACGGAGTTGAACGCAGCGGCAAAGTCAACAAGACAGATGGCCGTTGGCGAATCAACTGCAGCACACAGTCGGTGTTGGCGGGGGAATTGTGCCAAGGTAGTCTAGGCCGATGCGAATCGGTTCAATAAAATCGAAAAGAAAACCCAAAACCCGACCGCTAACGTCCTCCTTTGCTTTAAATTGTTTAAACGCTAGGCAGATGACGCTGCAGAAGTAACCCCGCTCCAGCAAATATATTTGCCTGAACGCATTTAGCGCGATACGCCGGTGCGCTTGCTCCTAGCTAGTCAGACATCCCCGCTCACTATTTTATGCCTTGACACTGGGTTTCGCCGAACATATAACAAGTCATTTATTGGTAAACACGTTAATCATATTTATTTTCATAGCAACCACCCGATAGCTCACAAACGAAGCTGTGTGAGAACGCTGTTCAAAAGAATCCATACTCACTGCAGTAACCCATAGGAAAAGCACGTGAGGCCCGACATCCCCGTGACCAGTTTAGGCGGAATGGCTAACCTATGGCCTTCATAAGCCGATGCCTACGTGCTCGCCCTGCGAGGACCCAAAAAGAAACAACCCCTACGATTTGACATGCGCTTCCATACATCAAGGATGTATCTGAAGCAACCGAACGCATTGCCGCGGGACTAAGCGTCGGAATTGCACACCGTCCTAAGGCTACAATGCACAGCCGTGTCATGAGAACCAAGGATCAATTGAATACTAGTGAGCAGTCGGACGAAGTATATCGCATACTATGTCTTAACTGTCCCATATATTACACGGGACAGACTACACGCAAGCTGGGTTCGCGCATACACGAACATAAACGGGTTGTTCAACGGGGTGACACATTATCGAAAGTGGCGGCCCACACCTACGAGACGGGTCACGAATTCAACTTCTTATCCGCGAAGATAATTGCTCACGCTGGCAGCAAGACGGGCTGAGAAATGATTGACGCCTGGGCATCGGATGACAACTCAGTTAGCCGATGTATTGAGCTGGCGCCCGCATATGTTGCCCTGCGCAGGTATCGTGAGACTCACGGCACTGCTGGTTAATTGGTCTTCTTCCGGCTCCCCTTCCCTTTCCCCCCTTTCCTATGACTTATGATTGACCTCTCCACTATAAATGTTACGTTTTTTCGTTGAAGATTTTATTTCTGCAAATATTCCCACCCAAAGCGCCGATCTCGCCCACTAGTATATACTCACAGTCCGGAGTAGCGAGTCAACGGCCAAACCACACAATTATTGATTTTCTACATGTTCAAATTTCAATTGTTTTGTGCACACGTCAGAACTAGCCGCCTCATTTGTTGCTGTTTTACCATCTCTGACGATGCACCGGAAAAATAGTGATATACTAATCGTCAACCTTCAAAGATCCACAGCAAACAAACATTGTCCATAAACGACGCAAACGCCGCCGCCTGCGTTTGGATGTTCTCTGATCTAAGAAGTTGTCTGTTTCCAAAATGGTAAACTACGATGGAAGGACCGTCGTAACTCTGACTGCAAAGCAAAATGCAAATGCGAATAAGTAATTACATCTGTCTGCCAAAACAAGGCAAGAGGACTCTGTAACCACTTTCCAATTTCGAGATTGTCATCGCTGGGCAGCGGTCAGTGGACAGGATGAAGCGTTCCTATTTGAAGATTCGTCACAGTTTTGTCCACGTGACGATGTCCGCATTGGAAACATATTAGTCTGCGCCTAAATTTGTTTCCCTCGAGTAAAATTTCCAGCAGGTAAATGCACAGTAGTCAATTTAGGCTGTTCTTGCTCAGCGCCCTGATCATTTCCATCGTTGGCTACAGTCTGCTCTTGCTCATACTCTTGATTTTCCAAATCCTCTTTACTTTCTTTGTTATCCTCCCTCTTCTGCTCCCTTCCCTGTTCTCCTTATAATTATTTTTATTATTATTATTATTTTTATCATTATTATCATCATCATCACCACCATCATCATCATCATCACCATCACCTTCCTCCTCCGCCGCATATTTTGCTTTGTTCTGCCCGTTCCGTTCTTGGTCCTCCTCCTCCTCATCCTCCTCCTCATCCTCCTCTTGCCTCTCCTTGTTCTGTCCCTGTACAAAGACCTCTTTGTTATGCTCCTTCTCCTGCTCTCGTTCCTCATTCCCCGCCTCATCAACATCAGCTTCCTCCTCCTCATCGTCAAAATCATCGTCCCTCCATTCCTCTGCTTTTCTTGCTCCTCCGACACCTCTTCGATGGTGGTTAGGGCTGACAAGAAAACTGGCTTCGTACGTGCTGCATCCGCCACAGTCCCGTCTATTTTCGAGAACAAAAGAAGGCAATTTTGAGGTAAAAACTTTGTAAACCGTCACTGTTTCACATACGAAAGAAAGAGGCGCTTACTGGGTTGCCGTTTTTGATATTCGCTCTGGTCAGGCGATTCGCCCGGAACTGCCTCCACAACGCCGCCATGATCAATTCCATGCGTTTTCGCAATTAAATTTCCATTTGTTGGATAAAATTGTCTTAGCAACGAAGAATCACTGCTGAAAGGATGAGTTTGCAATATGTCATTAACAATTATCCTTATAGGTTAATGGTAATGAACTAAACTAATTAACTAATTTGGCGCACCTACCTTACGGAAATATCATTAGTATGAAAATTGCCTGGAAGGTTGAAGGACAAGGGTTACGTTAAGTGACGTTGGTTTTGGTACATTCAGAATGAAACAACACTGTGCTACACGATTTGCATAAAATTAAACTACAATGTACAGTAAGTAAGAGGACTTACCGTGTGACGCGTTGATTGGAAAAGGCCATACAAAATTGTCGATCGGGTTGGTAATGAATTCATGAATCAGAAACATAGGAATCAGAAGCAGATTTGCGTGGAGTTCAGCGAGACGCTGCTCGATCAACATGGCTAACTTTTGTGCGTTCGAATGACTGGTGGTTATTGATCGTGCACAGGTCGGCGTTCGAATGCCCATGTAACCCCGTCGTCCCTGTATCCCGTTCTGTTGGGGGCGTGACGACGCAATGTGTCCTCCTCTCCTGACGGCTTGGGCGGCATGCGAATGTTTGTTGTGGCCGTCTCGCCGACTTTTCGCGGTGGGGGGGGGGTACACTGAACATTCTTATCAGGGGACACTCTGGACTCGGACCAAGCGGGGCCGTCAACCAGTGGTCCGGCCGACCTGTATATCCCTGAGACAGGCTATGGT